ATGGAAGGTTTTGCTACATACAAAGTATCCATGTGCAAAGCGCATTTGGTTGCCACATATTACTGACAGAGAACTTTCCCAGTGAATTTTCCCAGTGATTATGCATTACATCATTGTTCTAGCAATTATGCAGACACATCATTATTGCAGTTATGCAGACAAATCATTATTCTAATAATTGTTCAATTTACTACATTAGTGTGAAACTCCTTGCAGCTGGGATTCTTCCTAGCCCATGTACTAATTTACATGCAAGAATATGGGTTGGAGATTCCCACTGAAGTTGCCAAGGAGCCGTGTCCCAGTGGATGGTGACGCTTCACATCGTGAATGCACCTGAACTGAGGAACTTCTCTTTATGACAGCTCTCCGTCGGCGGTTTGAAGACTCCTTAGCTGACTGCAAAGCAAGGGACCGCATTAAAACCCTGCGTCTCGGTCACAGAGCAGTGGCGGAGTATACCGAGGAATTCCATGACTTGGCGTGCAGACTCAACGACTGGCCAGAGGACATCCTCATCAGCTGTTTCAAGGATAGATTGAATGACGATTTGTACAACATTAATGGATAATAGGAGATCTAAATAATAGTTTTTAAAAATGAAATGTAAGGTTTGACTTTCTAAGCCAGGGCTTTTCAACCTTTTCACCCATTGTACCACTTTTAGGATATGGCAACATCCAAGTACCACCAGTCGCCTAGCAAGGTGTCAAAAACTTGACCAAAAAAAGGAAAAAAGTGATAAAGTACAGGTAGTCCTCGACTTACAACAGTTCACTTAGTGACTGTTCGAAGTTACACTGAAAAAAGTGCTCCCCAAGCCACAGCCGAGCAAGACGCCTGCCCGCCCGGCCACGCTCTTCCTCCTGTCCAAGGTTTTCATTGTTGTGAGCATTTCTGTTGAGGATTGGCAGCGGGGGTGGGGTGGGGGGGTGTTTGATTTTTATTGCCCCCGTCTGCTGGGTGGTTGCAGCAGGTTTTGGTCACTTCAGATGACCCTGGGACACTGTGACCGTCATAAATATGAATCAGTTGCCGAGCATCTGAATGTAAATCACAAGACCCTGGAGATGCTGCAACATTCCAGCTGATTGGTGCTTCTTCTGGGCTCAGCAGAAGCGTCAGGATCAGTGCTGCTTTCCAGCTGATTGGTGCTTCTTCACAGCTCAGCAGAAGCACCAGGATCAGAGCCGAGCTCCAGCTGGATCCTGGCGCTGATCCTGGCGCTTCCGCTGAGCCCTGACAGCCCTGCAGCTCCAGCCATCTCTTGCTCAGGCTTGTGCAGTGCTGCCACCGATTCAGCTCATTCCCCTCCCCCACTATGACTTTTCTAGGATGGTCGCGTACCACCTGCCAGGTGCCAATGTACCACAGGTGGTACCCGTACCACTGGTTGAAAAGCCCTGTTCTAAGCAATAAGCAGTTATTCAAATCTGCAACTTAATCCAATTCACACTTGAGAATTATTGTCATG